TAGCGAAATCACGATCAAATTAAATAACGAAAAGTTGGAGCAGGTACACCGCTTCAAGTATCTTGGAGTACTAATTGATGACCAGCTGAATCACGAGACCGAAATCAAGANGATCTCAGAAGAAAGGAAATTCAAGCAAACTCGTTATGATAAAATTCAATTTACATTTTATCATTTTTATTGAAACTTATTATTATTATTCATTTTCATCGGGAAAACATTTCAAAGTGTCGTTTCAATTCTATTTATTTATTGGAATGTTTGTGGATACACGATATTTTTTGTTTTTTCTTCTGGTGCATACACGAATAAATCAGAAGGTTTTTTGATGCGTGAGTTGGCCACATACAGTTGTCCATGCGAGAAGCACGGATTCTCCAAATTTAGCCCACACACTCACAGCGATTGTCAGAAGTGCGATATTCCCCATATATATATATATTTTTTTAATTCTTTATAATTTTAATTATTTAATTGCTCCTTCCTCTCTTCCTTGGGATGTTGTGAAATTTCCGATAGTTGGATAATAAACCGATTTATTGTAATTTGTCTTTTTAAATTATTTTGAGTTAATATTAAAATTTGGAAAAGGGGATCCCTAGATCGGTAAAATAGGCGAATTTCCTCCTGCAACTTCGGTTGTTGTTCGGGATACAGTTACGGTTCGAGTTAAGTTCGAGCGAATACATAATTAGCAAAAAAAAATAAAGTGATTAAACAAAAATTATTACAAGTATCGTAAATAACAGTTCACAAATGCATAAATAGAGATATTTTTTGGAGGGGGGAAATGGTCTTCACAATTTGAAATCGATCGAACACACTGTGCTCGATACACTCGTATACACGCGCGCCATCTATCGTAGGATAAGTACTATGACAGAAACCTTCTGATTGCCGTGCAACTTCCCAAAGTTTCACGGCAATCAGATAAACGGTGTGGTAATACATGAAGGACAGACAACACACACACACATTTTTATATATATAGATTATTGCTCGATAAGATTGGGGAGTTTTCATGTTTTTACTGGACTACTGATATTAGGAATAACGAGGCTTGGATCGTACCCCAACCATGCAATGCGTGTCACTGCATGCATGCATTACTTGATATTTAGCAAATTTAGACGTTACGTTTGTTACAAAAATTGAAAGATTCATGTATTGTTCTGCACATTATAAAATCGCAGCCATTACTTTCAAGTACAGTACACAATCATAATGTCTATTTAACAATGTTGGAACCAAATTTTGAAAAAATTGCTGAAGATTTATCGCGACAAATAACTCATTAAATTTTGATTAGAAATTATTGTAGAATAATTTAAATTTTTTTTATCGTTAATTATAATTATTTATTTTTAGGAAATGTAATTTATGCATGTATTGAAATGAGTTCTATGATTTTATATAATATACTTATCAAATAATAATAAATACATGTATGTACCCGATTAAATTTATTATTATTTAGGTAAAATAAGTAATTCACTTTTAGTTATAGTTACTTAGTTAGAGTTTTCTTATGGCGCTCAGTTATAAGGGTTGTATACATCTAACGTAGTAATTATAAAATTTACATACAAAAATATAAGGGGTACTTGAGAAACAACTAATGGGCTAATGGGGTACATCAACAAAAAACGTTGAGAACTACTGGTTTATTTGAGTCTCTGATTAATAATAAGCGACGAAACACTATTTTAAAGTGCATTTTTATTCAACTAATCTATTTATAAATGATATGTAGCCCAGAAAGTAGCCAAAGCGCCAAATGATATTTTTTACGTCAAACTAAAAAAAGTAGCCACATTTGGCGCAATGTAGCCAAATCTTGCAACGCTGGAAAGAATACTAAATAAAGCTGGAGTTGTGACTCAAAGGATTATAGAGCCAAATGCGGAAAAAGAAGAGAAAGGACAAAAGATAAAAAAGTGAGAAAGATTGGANTGGCCCAATATACAAGTATATTTAAGGATTAACATGTCTAGATTATAATAATAAATATTAAAACTTTATCACGAAACAGGCTATTTTAAAAAATTACTTCTACAAACACTTTCAATTTGTATTTAGAAATAGATAAATTCATTTATTTGAAAAAACGCAAATATTTGGTTTATTTAACAGTTGTTCTCAACTGGGGGTACATGTACCCCTAGGGGTACGAGCGTAAATCGAAAGGGTACATCTAACTTTCATTATAAAATGGATTATGCTAATCAATTTGCTGTAAATTATTAACACAAGAAACAAGAAACAACAAAAACTTGCTTTAAAATATCCCAGTGTAAACACTTATTTCTCTTTTAACAGTCTAAACAACTTGTTTATTCACTTGATTTGCCTGTCTATTTGTGCCATCAGTGCCGAGTGAACCTGTAGTCTAGTAAAATCACGATTTAATTAACCGAGCATTAATTTTAGAATAGAAAATTTTTTTTTTTTATTCTATAACTAGCTTACCCGTCGCGCATTGCTGCGATCTCAGAAGAAACGAAATTCAAGCAAACTCGATATGATAAAATTAAATTTACATTTTATCATTTTTATTGAAATTTATTATATTATTATTATTCATTTTCATCGGGAAAACATTTCAAAGTGTCGTTTCAATTCTATTTATTTATTGGAATGTTTGTGGATACACGATATTTTTTGTTTTTTCTTCTGGTGCATACACGAATAAATCAGAAGGTTTTTTGATGCGTGAGTTGGCCACATACAGTTGTCCATGCGAGAAGCACGGATTCTCCAAATTTAGCCCACACACTCACAGCGATTGTCAGAAGTGCGATATTCCCCATTTATATATATATATATTTTTATCCTTTATAATTTTAATTATTTAATTGCTCCTTCCTCTCTTCCTTGGCATGTTGTGAAATTTCTGATAGTTGGATAATAAACCGTTTTATTGTAATTTGTCTTTTTAAATTATTTTGAGTCGATATTAAAATTTGGAAAAGGGGG